CGACTTTTATTGATACATATATCCCACCAGTACCGGAGCTGGCCACAAGCCCATCAGTCCGGCTCCAGAACCTATTAGACTAAATTTAGTGGCCTCAGTATGCAAATTTCAACAGCGATTATGCCCGATAAGGCGGCACTTAAGACCGACGCGTGATTTAAGTTGCTTTTCATAGATTTATGGTGGAGAAATTCGAGAAGAAAGGTGATTCGGTGTGCTGCTAATTGATGGGTTGTAGCATGTGTTTGGGTACCCTAGGAAGTCAGGGGATCAAGAAAGTATCGAATTGGTAAGCATTACTGAGTTGTAAAGTTTGAATATATGGAAACCTATTTAAATATTCTTAAAAATAAAGGGTTTTTTTTACTTCGAATTTATTTTGAATTCAGGTTGTACCCTAATTTTCTTTCTTTATAAGGTTCCCTTATTAACACCTGCTTCTTAATACCTTAAATTTTATAAAGTAGCTATACATTTCCACGTTTCTTTATCCCGCAATGTAATATAAATTCTTGATTTGACACAAATGACGGTAATTACCAAGTGATCAATCTTTATTGGGATGCGCCTATCTTGTTCCCACAGCTTAGTATCAAGAGTCTCAGATCGCTGCGCCATTATCTTCCCACCCCCTGATTGTTCAGATTACAAGATTAGATAATGGCAATTAATACTCAGTTGATGGCACTGCAACAACTTCCGTCATGAGCAAACACCGGAGTCGAGTCAATTTTGCATAATTACATCTGATTGTGATGAGGCTTGCAGCGAAACAAATCGTTACAAGTAACGCGGAGAACAAGCGAAATCATTTAATATAATTAATAAACAGTATTGTTCCAGCCGGGCATGTGCCAAAATTTAACCAAATCTGATGGATGCCAACCAGTTTCAGCTGGCCAAAGTCGATAAAAAAATATAAAAACAAATAAACAAAAAGGTTGCTCGAGACGCCTTTCTGTCTGTGGAGGTGCCAAAGCAAATGACTGCGGGAATTGGTGAATGTGAGAGAGAAATTCTTAGTTTTGCCTAGAAAGTCCTGAATTCATACTCCCCCAAAACTGAATTATTCAAATGGCCAATAACTAGGCAATTAATTGTGTTTCTATGCTTGGGGGTTGGCTTTTTCTGTTCTGACACACGCCATCGCCATTTGAGCCAACACTGAATAGTTGATTGCCAATTAAATTAGTCAAAACCCATAAGCATAGGAGAGAGGAATAGCAATAGAATAGACAGACCGGGCCAGATATCCATTAATTCACAATTCATTCAGACATTCATCTCGTGTAAGCCCAAACAAATCTTCCCAGGCTTTTGTTTTTTTAATGACCTACTCGACGCTGATTGACAGCTGAGTGGGTGAGGACTGGCTGGGGGAGGTGTCAGCGCTTAATAACTAATTTGCACAGCTAATTAACTGCGACCAAGACGTCTTAATTGGTATGCTAGGAAAGAGTGGGAGTGCTTGTAGGTACGAGACAAGTTACTTACAAATTAAATCATTAAAATCATCTAAAGCGGGTCAAAATATAACATTGCTAACTGTTAGAGTAAGCCACACTTTAAATAACTTGCTAATAAACTTAATTCTTAGAAATCATCTGGAGCGTGTCGAAAAGCCAACAGCAATTAATTAACAACCGCAAGAAACCGAAAAACGTGGAACCATATTCTTAATTGCTTAAAAATCATTAAACTGGTGGTAAAGTTTATTAATATATTTTTATTTTATTATTTTAATTTTTTATTATAACAACTTAACAAAAAAATCGTAAAAGCAAGAAGACAATAATCCAATTTTTGCATGTTTTATTCTAAAACACCTCAGAAAATGAGTTTCAACTCTTTAGCTCTTGTTTTTTTCTTTCCTCAACCATTAACATTTCTTATATTTATTTTCTCCCCATTTTGCTGTTGAATATCTGGAAATTGCCACCCCGTTTGTGGGTCATTTAGGTCATCGCCGAAGAGTATGCTACAAATGATGGCCCCCTTTCTTTTCTACCCATATATCTCAATCTCTCCGCCGCCGTATCAATAACATAAATAATGCTTCATTTGTCAAGTTCAGTCAACAGCTTTGGTTTCCCGCATCCGGAAAATGGCTTGTGCGTGGTCCTCCCCGCGAATCCTTGCGATCCAACCCCCAAAGACGAAGTGCAGCCCTTGAACCAATTGGACGTGGGTGGCTCTTCTCTGGAAGCCGCTGACATATGGATGTACGCGCTAATGGCCAAACCGATGACAATGGATGCTCCCACGCATCCGACGAATGATTCATGCGTTTCCACTCGCTTATGCACACTTTGGAGTCGCATCCTTGGATGCTCATTTACACTGGGAAAAATGAAGCAGTTCGATGGACCATCAAAAATATTCGTATAATTCTAGAGAGTTCTTGGAATCTTTGGCCCCTTTGAAGATCAAATTTCAGGGTGTCTAAAAGTGTTTTACATTTCAAGCATATTTTTATTATTCTAGGAATACATACTGAAACTTGTAGCTCAGTTTTAGAATGAGTTTTAACTTAACCATTCATAAAATATTTGTTTTTAAATTAATAGTTTTAAAAATCATATTAAACAAATGCTTTTTATTAAACTGATTATGATAAATCTACTGAATAACTTGCTTAAATTTAAATATAATTAGTTTATATAATTTATATATATGATTATTTTCTTTTGTGTATTAGATGATGCATGACCAATGGCATCGATTGTCCTTGCTCGAAGCGGCTTATCGCCGGACATCTCATCGCCCCATCGCTGGTGCAGCTGGTCCTGCCAGAGAAATTGATAAATTGCGGATTTTAAGTGGCTAGCAGCGCGGGGGGATGGGCCCTGGGCCTCACATTATGAGTTATGAACACGGGTCCGTCGTGGTCTAATGCCGCCCCTTGGGGAATGCAGTAAACGCCACTCGTCCGACAGAAGACATTTCACCAAATGCCAAATTTGGCTCACGCCATGGCGCCACACCATCGTCGGTATGGCCGGTGGATCGGCAGATGCCCCAGCGGAATAGGTGGCTATGAGGCAGCTGGTCCGATATGGACAGGTTAGCAGAAGAAGCCCGATAAGGACTGAGCACGCGTCGCCGGCGTCTCCAGAGGAGCGACACGCGGAAACGCTCAAAGGCGCTCCAAACAGGCAGATGTCACCGTGGTCCAAGATCGAGTTTAAGTGCCCATAGATTTCTGCAGAAGCCCCTGGACGGACATCAATCAGGCGGCAGGCACTTGCGATTGGAAGTGGCATCAACCTGATCGATCGACTTGTTTCGGGATTCAGTGCACGTGCCTGCTGCGTGGTAATATACACTGAGGAAAATATTTACCCATCTGAAATGGAATATCCACTGGTAGTGCTCTAATACATCATTTCAAATATGTTTTTTAACATACTTCGTATATTTTATTAGTATGTGGAATGGTATTATATGATTTTGGGCTTCCTAATATTCCTTTTACACCCACTTAGCATCATCTATACTCTATATCGCTTAATCGGTATTTGATATATTTGCTGCAACTATTCAATCTATTTTTTTGAAGCTATCGTTTTGTGAATGTATAATACATTGATTTTCAAGTTTAATGGGTGTTTAAACAACGTACTGATTTTCAAAATTCTCAAGCATAGGAAGTTTTAGAAGCAAACCAATGTTTTTTCGATGACCATGGAGCTAGAACCATAAGTTTCTTTGTAAGCAATTCCATCAACAAATTACGTAGTACACTACGTAATTTTGCTCAGTGTAGACTGCTTTCCTCAATGAGCCGCGAGCCATGATCCAGGGGCCATGCCAGATTGTGTTTTCCGTCTAAATCGCCAGCGATCGGATCGCTTGAATTTACGAGCGCCCGCCTCGTTCTCAGAATTCCACAGGCTGCCCAGTAAGTTCGAATCGAATTACAGACAATCTGGCCCTGGGAATTGGACGCGGAATGGGAATTGCCTGCCATGGCAGCCCGACCCTAGACATCGCTGACAATTATTGCTAAGCAAACATGCATAAATTGGCAGTGCCCCCACTGGATACTCTAATGGATAATGGCTAATGGCCATGCCCCGTAATTCGACGCCGGCCAGACTGAGTTTCGCTCCCCAATTGTGAGTTCCAATCGGAGTCTGGAGTGGCCCTTGGCCGTTGGCACTCCACTCGCACTTCACTTCCTTCCGAGGCCCTGGAATCGGAATCAGAATCAGATTCGTACTTGAATTTAGATTTGGAGCCACACCAGACGCAGTGTCGTCGCGGAGAGTTGGAGTTCGTGCCTCTGAAACTGATGCCACACACGAGCAAAGAACAATAAACACAACTTGGCCGGGGATCCTCCGTTTGAGAGGAGGAAGCTGAAAGGGGAAGGAAGCTGAAAGTCAGCAGTTCAAGTTCCCACAGGCTATTCGATTCCCACTTTTTGGAGCTGGTCAACTGCCATGTCTTTTTATTGGCTTAGAGATTGGCCATCCCAACTTAGGCACCACATGCCAAATGCTTTTACGAGTGCAGTGAAAGGGTATACTGATTCCAAAAAGTATTCAACTTTAACTACTTAAAATGCGACTCTATTCTCTTGGATAAATAAATGTAAAATCATTGTTTAATCAGTTTAAATTAAATGTCGGATCATTAATGTTCTCTTAAGTTGTCTATCAGTAGGCCATAATACATTTCTTCTTCTTTTAAATTAGATCCTTTAATATTTCCAGATGTTCCGTTTTCTTAGGCGGTATACAAAAAGTAAGGTTAAATTGTTTGTAAGATAAAAAATCTTTATTTATTCTTCTAAATCAATTTCATCCCCTTTAATGTAATCCCCTCCCAATAAAATACTCTTATGCCAACGTTTTTTCCAATCCTCGAAACATGCCAAATAGTCCCTTTCCGGTATCAACCATCAGCACCTTCTTTCAGTTTTGGTAATAACCAGAAGTCACACAAACTTTCCTTTTCCAGATTAAACACATAAATTAAATTGTTTTTTTTTTCATATATTTCAATTTTATCCACTTGCATTTGTGGCATTGGTTTTTGTTTTGTTTTTCATTTCTTTTAATTTTTTCATCTTTTGGGATATTCAAATATTTCGTAAATTTACAGATCCAGCCATACAAGTAGTATTTAAAGGTGTTATTATAGTACATTACATTAACATTAAACTTTAAACTTTAAACTCGATTAATTTGTAAAATTGAAAGATGGCAAAGAGCTGTCTCCCTTTTCCGCTGGTTAAGTGCATAAATAGCTCGCGATAGTTGTATAAATATTAACACAGTTTGGGGTAAAAGTTGGTTAATTTGAGATAAGCGGAATTTCGAGTTGGTTAAGTAGGGTTGATTGGAGAGAGTTGGGTTGAGTTCAGTTGAGTTCTGCGGATCTGGGGCTCGTTCAAGTTTCAACTAAACGAAAATACTGTTGTGCAATTCTCATAGTAGTTGGGGTAGGTCCATCTCCTCATCCTTTCTAGGGCTTAAATTTTAAGCAAACATTATCAAGTACTTCAGCTAGGACTGCGTTAAGTTCTAAGTACAATTAGCTAAGGCTTAGCTTAGTTATAGTTTAGTTTAGTAGTAGTTTTTTAGATCAGTTTTTAGTTCAGCGCAGCGACGAACACACATACGAGAGTACAAATACAAATACAAATACGAATACAAAACAGGCACACAAACAACAGGCTCTCCGAATAAAACTCCATTACTAAAGCTAAAATAAATAAAACTTAGGCTACACGAAATGGCGACAGGATGAGTTTCGATGCTACGTGTGTGTGTGCGTGTGTGACCGGATATTATGTGCCTATATCCGGTTTATATATATATATATATCTGCCTACTCCAGAGGACGTTCAGCGTAATACTGTTGCCTGGCTGTCATGGGAGCGAATTCAACTAGGTTTCCCTCACGGTTTCTCGGCTTTTTGGGGCCGCCAAAAGTATGCTATATATGGCGGGCCACTCTCTCTTTGCCCGAGTATCTGTGCGGATGGGCGTGCTCTTGTGTGGGTTAGTGAGTGTGTGTGTGTGTGTGCTTGTGGGTGTGTAGTAACTAACTAAATGGGTAACTAAAGTTAAACGCTCGACTAACTTAGTGGAGGGGCGGCGGCGTGCGATCCGGCGCACGTGGATAGAGGAAACTGCTGGGCACGTGCTTCAGGATGAACTCCTTCTGCAGCTGATCCTTGTCCAGCCGGTTGTGGGCGTGGCCACTGGACAGGCCGCCCGGCTTGTGCCGCCCCTTCTGGCCCTGTTTGCTCCGCTGCTGCTGCTCCTGCTGCAGCTGCAGTCGCAACTGGTGGTTCTTCTGCCGCCGGCGACCCTTCATCCGGCTGAAGCTCGGGTCGCCGTAGAACTGGTTGCCCTTGAAGCTGGACAGCGTGGCATTGCCGCGTCGCCAGCCGGCCGCTGGACAACTGGTGGCATTTCTCCAATCCGGCAGGTGGACGCCCAGCCGGCGGCACTCGTGGGCGTAGGCCGCAAAGCTGTCGCAGTGGCAATCGCCCGAGGGACACTCGCACACGTCCATCCGGCAGGCGGCCTTGTAGTTCTCCGGATTCAGCCGCTCGTGGCACTCGCCAAAGAGATCCGGAACACTCAGCGGATGGCAGTAGAAGTTCGACTTTCGCTTGTCGCAGGTGGGCGTGGCGGCCAGGAATTCGCGTTTTCGCGAACAGGACTTGGGGCCACCCACCTTCCAGGAGTTGGCAAAGTGCCAGACCTCGTCGTCTCCGTGACTGCGTCCATCCTTCCCGGTGAGATCATCGCGGGAACTGCCGTTGAAGTTGCCACACAGGCCGCACAGCCGTTGCTTGAATTTCGCCGGCACCGAGACCTGCAGGAAGCCAGCTCCATTCCACTCCAGGGTCAGACCCATCTCCGATCTCAGCATCACCGCTCCTCCGTCGGTCAGCCGCTCAATGGTGACATTCTGGCCACCGGCCACGCCCACATAGGGCAGCGTGACCCTCGTTCCGTTCACCTTGACCCGCATCCTCTGGCCGAGATTCACCTTCAGGTTGCGCAGATTGAGGGTCACCGTCTTGGCCCAACTGGCGCGCCTCGTGCCACGCCCCTCGTTCGTCAGCCGGATGTGGAAGGTCTTGCCCAGACAGTCGGACGCCAGGAGGTACTTGCAGCTGCCCTGGAAGCTGAAGAACTTGCCGTCAAAGGTGCGGAAGTGGGGATCTCCGAACACCGTGCAGGTTCCGGCCGTCTCCACGCACCGCTGGCAGCACTCTCCCGCCGGCTGCTTCAGCTCCTCGTTGGCCCGGCACTTGACCGCCGGACAGCGCATCTGGGCACAGCGGATGGTGCCCCCGTTGCAGCGGCAACTGCGGCAGGGGCCCATGTCCCAGGTCTCGTTGTTCTGGTAGATCACCCCGTCCAGGCTGCACTCGCTCCGCACCTCGGCGACGGCGCAACGAGGACAACAGCCATCCGGCTCCTGGAACTCCGGCGAGCACTCCAGGATCGGGCAAGTGGGCCGCTGGCAGACGGAGGTGCCGTTCAGGCAGGTGCAGTTCGTACACCTGTCCGGCATGAACTGCGTCTTCTCGGGGTACACACTCTTGTTGAAGAGGCACTTGCCTGGGAAAAAAATTGGAAAACATAAAAAAATTAAATTGGGGTACTTTAATATTTATGTTTATTTTTTAAATAAGTTTCAGAATTATAATATTCATATGCATTTTTTTTATAATACTTGATATACCATTACTTTAGGTCTTAAGGCTAACTTTTATTTGGTTTCATTAGATGTTTTCATCATGATTTTTGAAGGCCTACTACGATATTTATATACCTATCATTATTTATTTTGTGTTACTGCTGACATTATTAAGTAAAAATCACATTGTTTTCGGTCCCTGGCATTCACATTACAAAATAGTTTAATTTAAGAAAAACAAAAGAAATTAACAAAATATATATTTTCTATTCCGTATACCAACGAATATATATACATACCAAGTATCTATAAATAGTTATAGCATGACAATATATCAAAATATCTTTATTATTCTTGGAATTTATGGCTCTTCTTAAATGCATAATTAATTTAGGAACTCTTTTTATTATAAGTATACAGCAGGTAAATTTTCATTTGGCATTTAAGTTCCGAAGTGTAGTGTTTATATTATATAATTTATATATTATATCTTTTAATATATGTTCTATATATTTAGGTGTGAAACTAAATTATACCTATGTATATTTGGTGAACTAGTTTTTGGTTAGAGAACTCACCTGGAACCGGAAGAAAACTGTGGTTCTGCGGACACCGCGGACAGCATTCGTCCGGACGCTTGGTCTGCTTGGACATGGGACACGGGAGCACCGGGCAGGTCTTCTTGGAGCAGGTCAGCTGGTTCCCGCGGCACTGGCACACCAGACAGCGATCGTCGATGGAGGCGTCCACCTCCTGACCCTCGGCCACCGTCTGTCCGTTGATCTTGCAACCTGAAAACAGCAATCCCATCAGATACATTGGACATCAGACATTAGCCATCAGACACTTATGATTTAGTTGGGCTGTTGGGTTTGATTTGCTTGGCCACGGGCCAAGAAATTTTCCACAAGGCGAAACGGGTTTCCAAGCGGCATTTACCGCATTTACCGCATTTGCATAGGCAGCGTCATAGGAGGGCCCCCAGATTGGTGTTGCTTTTGTTTGCTCAGCCGCGATCGCGATCGCAATGCGAATATGCGGGGCGACATTGTCGCCTTAATAGACAATTTAAAGCCCATAAATAAGCAGGGCCAACAATAACAGACGCGTCGCGGAGAACAGATCCGAACAGATCAACGCAGATCGCTGCGGATCACCGAAGATCTCGATCGGAGATGGGGCGAATTTCGGAATGCCCCATGAATAAATCATTTTTGGTAATAGAGACATCAAAATGCTGACCCTATCAGCGATGATCTACTTTGCGTTGGCCAATGTGATTCAAGTTTTGCGTTTTTTTTTTTGTTTTCCAAATAATTATTATGAATTTCGAATCATTGGTAATACCCGTTTAAAGTGAGCATCATACCAAGATTGTCCATCTGCTTGGTTTCTCTATTGTTTAACGATTATGAGCCAGTAGCGGTATCTCTGGCTAATTTTAGTGAGTGATGCTACTGGGGAATGGGGACTGAGACTGGGACTGGACCGGACTGGATTTAATCGGAGAAGGGGCTGGAAGACTCACCCTGACAGGTGGGGCAGCATTCGCCGGGCCGTGGAGGCTGTAACTGGTTGTCGTCGCACTGCGAATAGCACTTCTGGATCGTCTCGGTGACCACGGTGGCCACGCACTTGTACGTCTTGCAGGGATCCTCCGGATCACTCCACTCCGAACCACTCTCATAGGACATGCCACGGAAAGAGCAACCTGTAATATGAAATATCATGTAAAAATTAAGTACTGGATAGACACAAAAAATATCAAGATGATATAAATTAATATCAATTTTAAAACTTCTGATAATAAGCTTGTGGTTTACCTAACGTACATTATGTCACATTATTTATTTATAAGAAAGAAGAATTTTATTTTACATTATAATATCATGATATTGATCTCATATTTTTTTGTGCAGTCTATTTTTTAAATATCCTTTACAAAACGATATTTTTTCTGCAATTACAATGTATATCCTTATTAACATGGGTTAACTCACCTTTGCACCTGCGGCAACAAGTTCCATTCGATTTATCCAGAATGTAGCAGTCATTGACGGGCGGACAGGTATCGCGGCAATTGACGAATCCGTTCTGTAAATTTCGAATAAAAAGCAAGACGTTAAACCAGACTTATGGTTGAAAAATTTTCTCAGCCCCATGGGGCGTATGCGCAATTTGCACAAATGCGCTTAGCCATGTGAAAGATGGCTGTCACCAATCAGCTGCTCGATTGGTGTGAGCGGTGCACACTCACTATTAATAAGTATATATATATGGTTGCAATTCCCTTCCCATAAAATACACCTCCACCTGATTTACTGCCCAGCAATTGCTTTCGAAATTGCCACTGCTCAATGAAGCTCTGCACTCTGACCTTCAGTGTAATTTACTTTGGGCGTGGCGATTGCTTTGACTCGTACTTTATTTGGGGTTAGCTACACAGAGATTTTCAAAGGCTTCCAATTTTATTAACATTTTCATTATAGTTTAAATTTTATACTGTAACCTGGCATTAAAGTCTTAAAAAATGTAAGTGATATCCAAAATAATAGAATTATTATAACAATGATAATATTATTTCAATATATTTCATGAAACCAAATATCTTTTATATATATATATAGGCTGGTAACTATAAATTTTAAATATTTTTTTAAATAGCTTTTGATCTTAATTAAATAGTTCGGTTTCACAACTTGATAATAACCAATTTATGTAGATACGAGATCAGAAATAGCATTGTTTTTATTTTTTTCTCTCTGAAAGCCGGGATTATGCAAAGTCTGGTAATTTATGCTGCCGTAATTTATCCTTAAGAGCGAAAACCCCTCGATCGCTGTGCAACTCGTTAGTTGATCCCTTGGCTGATTGCCTGCCCACAGGTAAGCAGCTCGAAATCAGCTTAGATATATATTTATATGCGGGTATCTATGCATCTGGATTTTCTAGCCATTCGGCTGTTAACGACATGCTGACAGCTGCAGCGGGGCGCATTGGAATTGATGTCGATCATAAGTCAAACTGTTGCAACTTGGCCGGCGACTTGTGCAATTGCCATTGCATTGCCTTTAACTTTAACCCTTGAGTGCGCCAAACAGCTGCTGGCTGTGACAGGTTAAAGCCAGATTCCGACTCAGATTCAGATTCAGATTCAAATCCAGCCCGGCCGTAATAATAGAGCTCGAGTCGGAGCCAAAGCCGATGCCGGAGCCGCCACTAATTGTAAATGTATCTATAAATCTAGATAGATGTCGACCAAAAACAGGCAAAATATTTCACTAATTTGTATGCAGTTGCTCCGAACAATGTTGGTCTGGGTACCTAGGTATCTGGGTATCTGGGCATCGGTGTGTGTATAATTTAGTGCAAGCAAACCAGATTGGATCTCAATTTGGATGGGGCTGCAACGTGCAAAATTTGCAATTGTTATGAAAATGAAAATCTCGACAGTCTCGGTCGCAGTCGCTGTCGCTGTTGGGGTCTCCGACTGCTAGATGTTTATCATCGTATTAGTTTTAATGGCAGTTGTTAGTTGGAATTTTAATGGCACTTTAGAGCGGCATTGTCGTAACTCCCCCAGCCCCCATTTCTACACGAAAAACAAAATTACCGCAAGTAAAGGTCGGCTGATTAAAAATAAAACAATATGATATGCAAATTGCTAGATACACGTCAAATTATTTTACGAAGACTAGGGGTAAATCAAGGTTTGTATCTCTTTAATTAAATTGTAGTGCTTGCAACTTTTATGAAATTTCTGAAATATTTTAAGGTTTAATGATACATACAAAACATAAAATACAATTTTTATTTAAATTATGCTTGTTAATCTTTAATCCTGTTTAATATTTAAGGAGGAGCCGGTTACGTATCATCAGTAATTAAAATCTAAGCACACTTTGGTCAGATACAATTACTTTTTATAAAATCAAAATTTAATTAAGCTTAAATATTGTTTTGAATTTACGAGAACAATTAATTTTTATCCACTTTAACTAAGAATAAGATATTGAGTTGATTTTACATATATTCCAATATTCCATATATTCCAATCAATCTCATCATTAGCAACCGTTAAAAGACTATTTGATACTTTTTGTTAAAATGTTCTGATTCACTACATATTGTAACTAAGTAAAATATATTAAATTTACAATGTATCTATCGGTTGTATCAGCTTTGTTTTCTGTGCATTTCTTGAAATACAGTAAGCTGACAGATTGAGTATCACTCTAATCGCCAGTCGTATCTCACGGATCAAAGTTCACATGCTCTCGAAATCCGGCCAGAGTTTCGACTTGATCTCTTGGCCAACTCGCATCCAGCTGTTTATGCTTTGGAATTCTTTCTTTCTAATCGGGAACCGGTATAGAAATATGCCCCGGCCAACATGAAAGTTGAGGCATTTTTTCTGCGAGAGATTGCCAAAGCGAAGCCAAAGGCGCCACGATGGCAACCCGAGCTGCTAAGTAGCATTGTATGATGGAGAGTGTATGGTGTATAGATGTTGTTGTATTCAATCTTGCCCACCGGCAGTTCGCAACAACAAGTTGTGCATAGGTGTGCGTGTGTTTGCCACAGTGGCAGAACCACATTTGCAAACGGCCTCTAACGACCTTGCGTTTGACAAAACATGATCGGTTTTAACACCGTCTCTATCTCCGTCTCCCTCTCCGTCTGAGCCTCTTTTTCTGTTGGCCATCTCGGAGTTGAGTTGGCCAGGTTGGAGTCTGCCGCTCTAGACACGGAGTGAATATGGTAATGACGGTCTTGTGGTTTTATGGTCATGTGTATTTTGTCACTTGTGGGCTACGGCTCAAATTGGAATCGGAATCGGAATTGGTCTTCAAATCGGTCGTAGAATCGGAATTGGTTTAGAACGGTCTGCCCAAGAATTTGCAGGAAAGGAGTTGGCAGACCTGTATGAAATTATTTGGCCAAATCTGGTTTGTCCATGCTCTAGAAATCCATATTCGCAAAAGTGAATTTATTTAGTTAAAGTTATGCACACTAAAACAGCTCTAATGATTCCAATTTGCTGATTTGCCCCTGATGCTCGTAAATCCCTTATTAATATTAATGCAGAAGTAGAGTAAAAATGGTAGTTCCATTTCCATTTTGCATTAATATTAATTCAGAGTACCCAGTTGATATTTATCAATCACTGGCTGTATCCTCTAATCACATGTTTACCCATTTCCAAAACAAAAATTTAATTTGCAAATTCACATAAAAGTCCTGCTCAATCATGGACAAAGAAATCCCCCGCGAAAAGCGTTTAAATCATAAGCCATTAAGTGCGAATTCAGCGGATTCAGTATAATATTCGCATAAAACCAAGAATTTGTGGGGCTTTCGAGGCGGAGAAGCACCATTTTCTTTGATTGTCCTTGACGATTTGGAAGCCTTTTTCTATGCATGAACGTATATTCATATGTATTTTAGACAATAAAGGCGAGTCGTAAAGTTTCGACTTAAACGGGGGTTATTCCCAGAGTGACTTACATTACGGGAGGAGCGTTAAGCAGGCATTATTTATCGGTTTTATGCGTTCAAGCCCCGATTACAGCTTAACGTTTTGCACGCTTCGCTGGGGAGCGTTTTGCTTGGGGGTCTTAAGAGCGGAGCTAAGAGAAATCACATCGAACTCGGGTTAAATTCGATTTCATGAACTTTTAATGAGTCGAGCGACGAATCCCCAGCGCGTGCGACAGAGATGCAGCATGCGATCGAACCGGAAAGAGACGGAGATACTCTGATGGCGCCTTCCCAGTAAGGTGGCGCCAGTATCGTATCTTTTTTTTTGCCTTTCAGCTCCCCCCGCTGATTTTGCTGCTGCTTTTTAATTTCGGTTACGCCCACTTGACGACGACGACAGCAGCAACAATGGAAATAATAATAACAACCCAGCGAAGCCAAGCTCAGCCGCAGGCGAAAAAAGATTCAGCGATCGATCGATCGATCTTGGTTCGATGCGATCGCTTGGATCGCCGGATCGCTGCGATCGATCGGTCGGCGCCAGCCTGAACGCTTGCCGCTCAAATTGGAGCAGCGGCGTTTAGCAGCGCTTAGCGCTAAATTAGCAGCAGGCTCACGACAGCCTCACCGTAAAAAAAATCTTCGGAAACTGATGGTCCATCTAGTATAGGTTAAAAAAAATTTCAAAATATACCTTTCGATTTTTTAATATTACTTTAATAGATTTCTAAAAGGAAACAGATATATCCTTTGAAATACATTGATTTTTGTTAAATAATAAATTTATAACTTTGGAAAAAATGTTATTTAAGACCTAACAGTCGTTTTTTATTTATAAATTACACATTTAATGTCTAAAGTTGGGTATACCTATGTACTTATATACATTTCTTAACATTTTTGGTTTTTAAAAAGTAAAGAAAATACCTCCATTGTTATTACAAGTTTCTACACTTTGTATATTTAATTGTGGTAAAAGACCAATTACGACTTTTTAATAGCAGGCTAATATATTTTAAATTGTGAAGAGTACTTAGTTGCTTTAAGGCAACCCTAGATGTAAAGTGTCGAGCTCGAATTTAAAAATATTTCTTTCTGTGCCTTGTCAACCCTGCCACCTTCCCCATCCACCTGCTCCCTATTCCATCTCTCTCGCGCTTTCCATCGATCAGCCAGATGAGCACGCGCTGGCTTAATGACGACACGAAGCCGCTGTTTGAGCGGCGACAGAAAGGGAAAGAGATGGTGCTTCCGAGGGGATGCGGGAGAGTGAAAGAGAGAGGCTGTCGCTGGGGAGCTGGCGACGAAAAATCACGGCGGCGGCGCCAAGTGTTTGTCAAATGGTCGAGTGCCGCGATCGATCCCAACACCGAACCAAATACCCTTTGCCAATACCGCGATACCCGCGCTTCCCGAACTACCCAAGATACCCGTAGTACCCGTGGTACCCGTCCCACATGGCGGATGACGGCGCGAAACCCGTTTGACGACCTTGGATCATAAAAATTCACCAGAGGGGGACGGCCAAAGGGGCAGAGAGCGAGCGAGTTGGCGAGAGGAAGAGGAAGAGGTGAAGCCAAACAAATGCAAACATACTCAAACATTCCGACGGATTCCGGTAATATCTTCAGCTGCTTTATATTCTTTCTCCACTACACAGAGCACAAAATAAAGAAGTTTCAGATGAAAACGTATTAACTAACTAAGCTATCAATTTTTGGAATAAATAAATAGTTACTAAAGGTAGTTACTAAGGTAAAGACTAAGTGTAGTATTGTTTTCGAAATAGATTGTTAAAAATTCTACTTAGAAAATGGTTAGCTTGAAATATTTGATAATATCATTATTCTGATAGTCTGACTTTTTTTAAAGAATTTATGTCATGTCTAGTTACTATGAAAGTCAAGGAATAGCCCCAATGTATAGGACTAGTCTAACAGATTAAAGACTTTTCTACCAAATGTTCGTAACATTTTTCGCTGTACAGTCAACGGTTCACAAAAGTTCTAGTGTGTAAGTGTTGGCTGGTAATCTCGTTGAAATATTCGAAGCATTTTTGGTATTTTTCATTTTGGCAGGCCGCTAAGGATGTAACTGCAATGACATGGGTCTGAATGTCCTGCTGGCTGGACACTGGCGTCGCCCCATGCTGAGAGGGAGATAGATAGACGAAGGGGAAAGAGACAGGGAACGCGGCAAGTACAAGAGATTTATTTCAGCAAGCATGGTTATGTTATTTCATTTCGTTTCATTTCGCTTTAAGTGACTTTTATCGAGGCCAAAAAGCAGCTCCACTCGCAAACTTGGCACGGATCCGTGGAGCCTTAAAAAGCGGACAGAGGGTCGGAGATGTGGAGAGGGGCAAGAGTGGGAAATTAAAGTGGCAAGCACTTCTCATTCTCGACTCACCTGGCATTCGCATTTGAAGCAGGTGAAAATCTGCGGTTGATTCTTCAGTTGCACTTCTTCTCCCTCATTCGAGCAGGATTGTCGGACGCCTGGAAAAAAGAGAATTGAAGTGCGGATTAGTGGGGTGCCTATCTGATGTGGGTAGTTAATCCCCCCTTCGGAACCAGAACCAGAACCCTCCCACTGCATTTCCTGCCTCTGACGTTGACTCTTGATGTAATAATACCAAACAAACACAAACAAGACGATTCATTGCATGTACAAGCGCCGGAAATTGCTCACCGACTGAGATCTTATCCGAGCACGTGACCCAAAATGGACTCACCCACCCTCCTCACTCATGCATCTGATCTCCTTCTGCAGGTCAATGAGATTAGGCCACTGGATTTATGTACATGCGTGTTTACCCTGCACGGGAAAAAATTAAATCAAATACATACGTACTTTATGAAGGTGGCCTATCATGAGGAGATTCAATAAATATACTCCAAACTCATATAATAAATGGTAAATAAAATTAATCTAAGGGATAGAAACATTTTTGAAGTACGACTTTATAAGATAATTGTTCTTTAATTGGGGCTTCTGACATATGAAACAATCTTAGGTACAAGATCATTTCTTATCATCATTTTTAACAACTGTACATAATCTATTCGAATTGTAAACATAAGAATAACTTATTTTGACCAATCGTATATATATTCAAAGAACATTGAACATTGTTCATATATGTTTTGAACTCTAACAAACCTACAAATCTTCAAGAGAAAAATGATCTCTTTATCCTAATGCGATCAAAATTATACCTATTCCTATTCTTTTTCGGTTGATATGATTGATATTTTCTTTTTACAATTAAACTAGATATTATTTTAATGACTTTAAGTTTTGGAAAATGGATGTTCAAATGCATAATAGAACGAATAATTTTTTCTGTGTAAGTATATATTTCAAATTATTTAACCCAAAATATTAATAACCATGTTTACTAATCAAATGCATATTAGAACCAATAATTTTTTTCTGTGTAAGTACACTTCTACCTCGATCTGTTGTTGTTGCTACTTTGTTTGGTTTTTACTTCTTTTCTTCTGCTGGCGCTTAAGTCAAAAGTAGCCAAGCGTTGCATGTTAAACATGTTTCTCAACAACAACAACAGCAACAAGAGCAACAATAACAATGGGGCAACAAAAGGTAAGCGGAAACGGAGAGAGACAGAGACAGATACAGAAAGACAGGTATGGTATAGCGGGAGTGAATGAACGAGGGAGTGGGAGAGGGAGGGAGAGGAGAGGAGAGACACGACCCCAGCAGGCTGAGCCCGTTCTTCTTCTTCCCGAAAAGCGAGGACCACCTGCAATGTGCTGATAAACACACAGGCATACAATCTCCGTCCCTCTCACTCTCACCCGCTGTTCAGGGCAGTAAATAAAGACGCCGGCGCTACACAGGAAAAATCGGAGCACTAGTTAAAATTAACAATGAATTTAATTAAATCTCATTCCTACAATTAACGATTGAGTACCAATTTGTCATATCCTTCTTTTAGGAATTCAATCCTGGTAAAAACCTATATGGCACGGAGACCATACTAATACTAGTCCTATTTTTAAAATCATAGAATTTCATAAAAAGTTTCCTACTTCTTGATTAAAAGGAAATGATAACGTTCCTAAGATGTTTTACAATTTTCAAACCAATAAAATAAAAAATGTTTATAGATATAAAAAAGAATTCCGCCCCAATCGATGTACGATTTCTGTGGACCACCCCTTTAAATGAATTAGTACTTTTTTATGATTACAAACAATAATCTTAAGAATTTCCTGTGTACAAGGTATGGGTGATCCATTCGAGCTACCTTCTTGTTCTCTTACTCTTCTTGATGTTCTTCTTGTGATCTCGGTGGGCGGCTTTAGGACTTTGTTTTATTCTGCATTATTATCGTGGTTCCTCCTACTTGATCCACGCCCCTTCCCCTCCAGAAACAATCTGTGTAATTTGGTCGCTTGTTTGTTTTTGGTTCGCTTTGTTCTTTGATGCTGGACCTTGGATGATTATTGTTTTTGGTCCACTCTTTCCTGTTATGCGATTGTGTCCTGCTGTTTTCCCCACTCCGTTGCCCAATACCAAGCCTACATTTTTCCCCATCTTCAAATCAATTGGAAATTTTCCTCTACCGAATTAAAATCAAATATCATGTTTGCCGCTGGGCGACTTTCTACATTCCTTTCTCTTTTCGACTAGAACAGTTAATGAACTTGGTTCAAGTAACCCGATATCGGCATTGCAATATATCTAATTTATGCGTTTTTTATTTACATTTAACACACTCGAAGACCCATAAAAAAAAACCCACTCAATAAGTGTTTTTTAGAGAAGCTCGGACGAAAAACGGCGAAATTAAAGTCGAGCCAGTCGAGCGATATAGACGGCGCTTGAATATGCTCGGTCAGTAGCTAATCCCGCCGGACTCTCCGCTCGCCACCCCCTCGATTAAAGCCCCTTTCCCCTCCCTTTTCCACATCAGCTGGCGTTGGCGACGTTCGCCGATTAATCACAGACGCCGATTAAGCGCCATCAAATTGAGTGGAAAGGGAATTAGGAGGGGGTCAGAGGGGGTCAGCGGTGGAGAGGTGACGGGCAGGGAGAAGCGGCAGACGGATGCACGTGTTCTAGCGGTATTCACGGGCGTACGCCCAACCCCAAGAGCGGTTCTCCAGGAAATATAAAAAAAATAGATTCAAAATTAACTAAAAAGCAACCAAAATTTTGAAGTATTATTATCAAATGTGTAATTCCCAAATAATTTCTTTAAAGAGACCTGATTTTAAGTTAAGGTCTTAAAATGATTTTTGGAAAAGTTCATATTAGATCAAACTTAAATTCCTTTTATTCCAGGTAAATACAAAAAGATTAATATTGACTCTTTGCTTGTAATTAGGATTCTAGAATATTCAAAAATATATCCTATGCTTTTGTATACCTGTAACTTTCTCGTAAAGCTTTGATTAGTAAATATGGTTTTTAATATTTTGTGTTAAATAATTTGAAATAAATAAAAACAACGACAAGTGAAAGGTTGACGAGTTCCCAGCGTTGACTGTGACTTAGTCATAAATAAGTTCCGTAGAAAAGCGATCGAAATAACTATATAACTCTGCTCTATTACCGATCGTATTGGTTGGCAGTTAAAGCTGTTATAAGCTCGTAAAAATCAGCTAAAATCCATGATTCATAGTCATAAGCTGTAGTAAGTCCGGCAAGCCGCTTAGATGTACACATCTGGGGGAATTTTTGAATAATACTTTCAATGTCGGGTGGAATGTTGATCTTCATCAAGGTTAGTTGAAAGTTTTACGATCGGATCGGGAACGAAATTTATAGCCAAAAAAGAAGTGATAAAACAATTATCATATTAGAAATGTTCCTCTAGCGGTCGTTAAATTGTTATTTACGAGGTAATCAACTTAGTTACAGAAATAGATCTTACTTTAATGAAACTAAGAACCTGCAATTATTCTATACTTTAGTTTTCCGATCAGAAAGCATACCTTTATAACGATATAGGGCTAAGGGACCTTATTATTATATTAATATCAATTTAACAAGATAACAAAAAAAAAAAAAAAAACCGTACCTTCACATATGAATTTATGACTACTTGATAATAGATATGCAATAATTAATAATTAAATGTTGAAATGCCATCAATATTAAATAGATTTTAAATTTCTAAAACAATGTAAATTTCTAAAACCATCCTGTAAATCTAATATTACGGCTACACACTCAACAATATGATATTTTTTGGATATCGATCACACTTTAATTGGTATAGTTACATAAAACCCACATTGATCCATCGTAATCCCAACCGTTAATGGTCACCTACAAACTATAAAGTGGCACTCACCTGATAGGCTATCGCCCGCTCCGGCGGCGACTGCCTGAGTTTGGAGCACAGCCAGCAGGATTATGGTGAGGATCAGGACCTGGGTCCGTTGGGAAAATCCTAGGTAATGCCGCCTTGGCGCCGGTGATTTCGGAGGCTGCTGCGCAGAAAATTTCCACTGGCCACTTGATTGGCAACACATTTTCTCAATCGGTCGATGTTCGCGGAAATCTCTATTAGTTTTTCCTCAGCACGATTCTCGTTAAATGCTTTGCTTTCGGTTTTTGTGTTTTCTTTTTTTTTTTGTGTTGTGGCTGCGGCTTGCGTGAATTATGACTGGAAAGAAATTGTGTTTTGGTGGAGAAAGATCACGATCAAGCCGGTTAGTTTAAAAATAACAGCGCAGCGGGCGAAAATAGATTTGTTTGGATATTCTGCAGGTGTCTTGTACCATTTTGTACCTACAACTTTGTTGTTCAAATTTAATTTAGAACCGATTTGTCAGCGTATCGGTGTCTGTGTGTGCCTGTGTCTGTGCCCGTGCAACAACTGTTGGTTTTTCTCCATTTGAAGAGTACAAACACTTGCCGCCCAGGGTGAAATTTTGGCCAGTACCGATAGTAAATCATACCGTTTTGGGTTTTACGACTCCAGCCCGGAACACCCGAGATGAGGCCGTAGAGATTGAGATAGAGATAGAGGCACTGTCTGAATTCTGCGAACCATCAGAGCAGCCCTCGTCCCGCCTCTTTTTGGGAGGTGTTAAGACAACCGGGACATTATTAGTTTTGCGATTTATGGGTGCGTATATCCGTGTATCTGCAGACACAGATATAATACCTATGTGTGGTTCAGGTAACAACAGATACGAGCCTTGTGCTTATGTGTGGTGGCTCTTTGTTCGACTGGCGGATCATAAAAATGTTAATGATCTTTGACGGGCTGGCGCCAGCCAGGGAATATTGTAATGCTTGTTTGAGTTATAATTAATTTCGATGGCGCATAATATTTTATTATTTGTCTTGAACCAGCACAACGCCGCGATTTTCGCCAAAGATTTGCTGTCGTACAGCTTCTCTGGCTTGTTTTTATTGATTTCTGGCCGCTTCAAAGTGGCGCCAACGAAACGCCGAACCAAACGCACCGCACCAAATGCGGATACGAATCTCTGTGAATCACTAAGCGCTAATCCCAATCCCCAGCGTAATCCCAAGCCCCGGTTAGGTTCGATTCCCAATCGGAGATCGTGTGACACACCCTGCGGCGATCGGGAGAGCTGAGAAAGAGAGATTGGATTGGCCGGCCCAAATCGGTGCTTGACCTAACAAATGTCACCGGCACTCGAACAAGTGTCAAAGTCCCGAGAAAGTATGGGATCTATAGTACCCTACCATCTTCAAAACTCTCAGATAGAAAGGGTTCTCTTATGAGTTCTAAATCTATCATTATACATCATATCATTAAATTTTCTTATAATCTTTAATAAGTGGGAAATGTGGGAAATCAGTAAGGTGTATTTGTTATTTTCGATTTCCACCCGGCCAAACTGTAAATAAGGAATATTACTTGAGCGTTATGCGTCGTTTACGTGAAGCAATTCGTCTAAAAAGACCAGAATTATGGGCTGGAACAACTCGTTTCAACGCTTTTCAAGCCGATTGAGGAGATACAAAAAATCGAAGAAGGTGCCAATGGCTACAACGGACAGGGACTATTTGGTATGTTTCGAGGGTTGCAAAAAACGTTGGCATAAGTGTAACTTGTGGGGAATTTTACTATTTACTTTAAAGGAGATAAAATGAATTTTGAAGAATATATAAATTTCTCAATTTACAATCAAATTCACCGTACTTTATGCCACAGTAGTACATAAGGTTAGATCTACGTAAAACAATATCTATATCTTTCTTGTGCTAATAAATGGAAAACTTGAAGTAAAGGCCCTCGATAAGCTCTGAGTGAGGTAAACATATTTAGGCCTCATATACCCCCGATTAATCGGTATTTGTCACTTTACCCGACCTGATAAGACCTAAGCTCATGCTGGACTGTATATGTAGAACTCGAATATTATGTTAATTTCTGCACTTGATAACGCAGCACACACATGTGAATGATTGAAGAGCAGCGAATGCAGCGATTGACTACGTGACGATCGGTTGAAGTGGTGTTGTTGTGCCCGCTCCCTACGATTAGGTGCAATTTGTCAAGCGTCGTTGACAAGGACAATGCAAATCAAAAGTGGGAACTACTCTACTGTATACTATACTATACTATATGTATGCCTCATTAATTCATCTTTCTGTTTCTAGGAAATGGTTCTTTGTGCGACTACAAGAATTAGATGACTTTGACAAAGTGTGGGTCTTCAAATTAATCACCAGTGTGAATTGTGCTGTGCCGGGGAAGTCGCAGTTTTCCTCGCAGATTATGTAACAGCGAGCTTCAATGTCGCCGTGATTCCCCATCGCTCAACTCAAGAGCACTCTTCGCCTGCCAGTCCAAATACGATTCTTGCTTTTGGTCAAGGGCTCGAGTTGATTTCAATTGGATCGCCTGGGCTCTCGGTTCTCGGTTCTCGGCTTATCGTGTGGGTTCATTGTTCATGCTTTGATGCTTCAATGCCCAGGGCTATGAGAGGATGATGATCGTGCCACATGTGTGCAGTGTACGCAATTTTCAAATCGCCAAATCAGTCGGTCTCTCAAGCGGAGGTTAATGTGCGATTGAGTGAATGAGTTGAGAAATCTGAGAGTTCTGACGACCGCGCTGGGGCCTAAGGTTGATCCATAAATAGCCGAGCAATAGTGGGAATTAGCAGGGCTTTTAATTTGAGGTCCAGTTCCTAAGATCTCGGCCCTGCGTATTATTCTATAAAGTGTGTAATTGGGGTCCCGTCGGGCGGCATTACATGACTCAGACTTAGACGGCAATGTCGTGCCAATTAAAGTGGTTGAGGACCGAGCACCGAGGGCTGAGGGCCAGTGATTATGGGCTGGCGTTGGGGTTTCTAATGGTTCCGACATGGCGTCAACCCAACCGACAAGGCCTGGGCAATTAATCCAGCTCGGGGTTGCACTCGAGCTGCAGAAAATTGGTTAGGGTTCTGGGTCCTCAGCTCTGAGCTCTCAGTTCTGGTTTCTTGGCTCCCGAAAGGGTTACGCATGGCACGCAGACGGCGTCTAGACGGGGACTCTAATGATCGGCGGTGGGTTTGTACATATATAGACCCCTACATATATGCACTTTACGCATGGGCCTTCCCGGCAGCTCCCTTCTTATCACACTCTCGCCATCGCGAATTCCACTTAAAAGCCCGACCGGGCTGCCTCCTGCCAATTACCTGCGGAGTGGACCATGTCGTTGGCTTAATTCAATTAACAGCGGAATGCCTACGACTTACAACTTACAACCTACAGCCACATGGCCATTAAGCCCCGAGATCAGTCGCAATCCCCCGCAAGCGGCGCCAAAAAAAAACCCCCAGATACTTTGGCAAATCATGCAAATTCCACAGGCCAACTACAAGACACGACTCCAGAGCCCCGGATCCCAAAAACACCCCGCTGATTCCGATCGCTGCCTGGCAACTAATTTCAATGTATTTGCATATTGAAGTCTGTTTGCCACAACAATGAGATGGCTAAAAAACGCACATTTGTCAAATGGCAGGCCCTTGGGGGCCAGACGGGCTCGGGATTTCAGCTTTATTTGGTACAATTCCATCTGACAGAAACCGAAACCAAAACCTAAACTGAAAACCAAAACCAAAACCGATTACAGCTGCAGCCCAGATGAAGACAAGGCCCATGACGTTGACGATTGCCGATTGCGGATTGCCCAAGACAATGGGCCAACAACCAGAGCTAACCAATTTCGTATGCCGGGGAGTGAAAAAGCCAAGGGGGGACCACAGAAGAAACGAATGCATCGAACGACATAATAAAGTCACAAGCCAGACAAACGTATAAAAGCTAACAAAGCTATTAGCCATCATCATCATCATCATCATTGGGGCATCGATGGGGCCCAGCCCATTCGAACTGCGGAGTGCCAGGACAGGACCACAGTGAAGACCCGACCGACCTCAAACTGGTCCTGCCCTGTCGTCCGCCTTCCGTCGATTTCTACTCTCCCGATGGGGTAATGCGATTTTAATAGCGTTCGAATCATTGCCAAACCGAGCCGAACAAAAAGAACTAAACTGAACAGAACCGAACGGAGTTGAGCGGAACCCAAATGTGCCGGAATAAGTGCTCCATAAAAGTCACACATCGTATAGTTTAATTAAAGGCGATTTCATCGGAGAGTTTTCAAATAACCTGGCTTTTTCCTATACAAATAGATGTGGGGAAAATTACGATGTCTTGATTTTTGTTTAAATTTTATTGTTACTTTAAATACATTTTAACAAGGAGTTTTACAACTAGTTTAATAGGGATTGTTTCTTTACATTTGTTTTGTGTTTTAAATTTATACCCGGAGGTTCCACCACAAAAGACATTTGCAAGTCTCAAAATGTATTGCCATAGAAAGATCTGTTTTTAAATATCACGTGAATTTATCTTATTACTTACACATATTTTCATATGGATATGTAAACTAATAAAAAGTTCGATTTACTATCAGGAAGTTACTTGTAATTATATTCTAAAATTTAAATGAATTGAAATGAAATATAAAAAACATTAATTTCCAATCAAATGTGGGAGAGGTTTACTCCCGGGTATAGTGGAAATTCGAATTCATTATAATTATACTGCTAGAATTGGCTTCATTTCTAACGGTCCAGCTTAGTTTGATTTTGGAGCCAAGAAAGAAATTGAAATTCATATTTTTAAATCTGCAAAATCTCTATTTATGGCTTTGTGCACACATTTTGATCATCTGTTTATTGCTGGGCCAATCAGCATAAGCCACTTAACGCAGTGCCGTTTTTGGAACCGCCACCAGATTACTCCGATTCGATCCGAAAGATATTTTCTTTGCCTAAGTCGATTAGTCACCCCCAGAATCAAAATCTCGGCCGATTCTTGGCCATATACGCGCAGCCGAAGTCTCTGCACAGAGTTGTCATGGCCATGAATCATGGATCATATAAAATGATTTTTATTATTCTTAACTGCTCATTGGGTTCGGTTTACGAATTATTAATAAACTCGGGGCAAATATGGTGGGGGAAATGCTGGACGAGGGGCCATGGGCGTTAGAGTGCGGGTGCTGGCTTGTTGAAATTCGAGTATTATTAGCGAATTTACCGCAAAATCTATAAATAGCCAAACAGAACCATTAATTGATACACAGACATACGGTCCGGGCTTGTGAGAGTGAGTATG